GCCTCCCAAAGTGCTGGGATTACAGGCTTGAGCCATCGCGCCTGGCCTTTTTTGTATTTTTTTTTAGTAGAGACGGGGTTTCACCATGTTAGCCAGGATGGTCTCGATCTCCTGACCTCGTGATCTGCCCATCTCGGCCTTGAGTACTCATATTTTTGACTGCCTGATATTATTGACTTCAGCCTGACGCCAAATTGCTGATTATATTTCTCATAGTGGATTTTGTGTCTCTACACTTAGAAGAATTGAGCAGATACTTACAGAAGAGTACTGTGCAAATTAGATGTGCAAATTAGAAAACTGTCATTAATTGGATGGATTAGGCATTTTGAGTAGTTCACTCAGACCACGGAGATGAGAGTACTGACCTCTGAATATTATGAAAGAATCGTTAATAACAATAGCGAAGGCAAGCTCTGACCATCATCACTGGAAGAACTTAGAGTCCAGTGTATAGTACCCTTCCTCCATTGTAATTTGCATTTGTGAGGAAAGGACATTTCTAGGTGGTGCTCATCTTTCACTTTGGACTCTGACATTTTTTGATGTTGGCCTAACACTTAGCCATGACTCATGGGGTGTCACCTTCAGTCTCTAAGAATCAGGCCAGGTTTCTTGTAGATCTTGTCATATTGCCACTTGGAATTTAGCCGGAGGAAAGAAAGTAAGGCACAATTGCAGTTGTTTAGATGAACATCTCAGTCAGGCTTATGAGAGGCAGTAGGGCAGAGTAGACTGTCCTCATTCTCTCTGGCATTTGTTTTCCACCTGTTCTGAAGATTCTTCTCTGAACCGTATCTTGTGCAGACATGACAGTTGATCATAGAGGTTCCCCTACCCCCAATTTCTGGCTGATTCCTAAAATTTCATCAGTATCAAGAAAGTAATTCATTTGTTCAAATTTTTTTTTTTTTTTTTTTTTGAGACGGAGTCTCGCTCTGTCGCCCAGGCTGGAGTGCAGTGGCCGGATCTCGGCTCACTGCAAGCTCCGCCTCCCGGGTTCACGCCATTCTCCTGCCTCAGCCTCTGGAGTAGCTGGGACTACAGGCGCCCGCCACCTCGCCCGGCTAGTTTTTTGTATTTTTTAGTAGAGATGGGGTTTCACCGTGTTAGCCAGGATGGTCTCGATCTCCTGACCTCGTGATCCGCCCGTCTCGGCCTCCCAAAGTGCTGGGGTTACAGGCTTGAGCCACCGCGCCCGGCCTGTTCAAATTTTATTACTCAAGAAAAATGCAACTTTCCCTGCAGGGAGCTAAAAAGCCAACGTCTAAATGATGGCAGCGGTGGCCTGTCTGGATGGGCTACTGCCATGATGCCAGCTGCAGTCGGGGAGGCATGGTCTGCACTGCACACTCCATGGAGCCAGTGGGAGCCAGGAATAGGTGGAAGCCCTGCCCGCTTCCAGGTTGGCGGGGCAGGAGCAGCCGTGGCTACATACCTGGGCATCCCTGTGCTTTTGGGGGCCCAGGAACCTCCCCTGCCCCTGCAAGCTTGAAGTGCCTGCTCCCACTGCCTGGCCTCTCCTTGCTCCTAGTGCCCGCTCTGATCCTGGTGCCCGCTCTGATTTTGGTGCCCGCTCTGATTTTGGTGCCCACTCTGATTTTGGTGCCCACTCTGATTTTGGAGCAAAGTTGAGACCAAGCCTGGGCACCGTCATGACCTGGCTGCGTGTGCGTGTGCAAGGGGCAGCGCTGACACGCCAGCCCCCTGCTGCCTTGGCCCCCTCCACATTTTGGGTGTCCAGGAGCACAGGAGGGGAGGCCAAGGCGGAGCTGAGGGCAGCTTCATGCAGGCCTGCAGGCACCCCTTGGCACGAATAGCCAGGGTGCCTTGACAGCAGCAGGAGGCAGAGAGGCTCCTAGGCGGAAATGGGCAGGTCCCTGGTGAATCCCCACCTTCAAGCCAGGGATGGCCTGAAGCCTGGGGCCCAGGCTGCCAGTTCTGTGGACTGGAGTGAGAACTTATGGTGCTTTTTCCAGGCTGCCCATGGCTTCCCAATGGGCCAATCAGCATGTACTTCCTCCCCTCTGAAGCCCATGAAAACCCTGGACTCAGCCAGACTTGACAGGATGGCTGACTGCTGATAGGAGCTTCCCACTCCAGCTCTCCTCTCCACTGAGGGCTGCGGAGACAAAAGGATGACCTGCCTTCAGATAGGAGCTATCCACTTTTGGTCCCCTCTCCGCTGAGGACTGCACAGATGCTGGGACGACCTGCTGTGGAAAGGAGCTACCCACTTGGGGTCTCCTGAGAACTACTGTGTTGCTCAACAAAGCACCTCTTCACCTTGCTTATCCTCCAGTTGTCCATGTACCTCATTCTTCCTGGACATGGTACTAGAACTCGGGATCCACCAAATGGCAGGACTGAAAGAGCTGTAACAAACAGAGCTGAAACATGTCCCCAGCTCCCCCCACCCACCACTTGCCACGTTGTGAGCAAGAGAAAGAGACAAGAGAGGAGAGAGAGAAGAGAAGAGCTGCAGCCCTTTGGGAAGCCCAGACCTAGGAACTCCCTGAGCCTGGGCTGTGACCCCCTCTTTGGAGCTCTGTGGTTCCTGGCATCTCCAAGCTTCTGGGCACCACCATGTTCCCCAGTGCCTGCATTGGAAGCTGCTTGTGGTATGCCTGGTTCAGCTGCAGCCTCTCAGGGAGCTGGCGCCTGGAGCTGCCCACCCCCTGGCAGCTGGTGTGCCTGGCTGTGCGCAGTGGCCGGAGCCTGTGCTCACTCGCCTGTGCACCGCTTGCCGCTCCGTGCCTGGCTTGCCCTTGGCGTGCGTGGAATCTGTGCTGGTGACACGAGCTGAGCGTAGCCTGCCAGGCTGAGTGGATGGAATGGGCCCAGCGGGCCTAAGCAAAACTCAGGCAAAGGCGCCACTGGCCACAGAGGTTTCTGGCTGGTGAAGCGACACCCCAAGTATTCTGTGACATAAACATGAAATATAGAATATTCAGAACTTTGCTGTAATAGCTAGTTGCTAGGAACTGTCTGCTAAATGAGCCAATAAATAAGTTTACCTTTGGGGGAAGGAGAGTCCCTGAGGGAGTTTTAATAGCTGGAAACTATTGAGGTGTTAAGACCCTGAAAGAGGAAAGGGAAATGAGTACTGAGAAAAGAAGGGGAAGGGCCGGGTGCAGTGGTTTACACCTGTAATTCCGGCACTTTGGGAGGTCGAGGTGGGTGGATCACCTAAGGTCAGGAGTTCAAGACCAGCCTGGCCAACATGACAAAACCTTGTCTCTACTAAAAATACAAAAATTGGCTGGGTGCAGTGGCTCATGCCTGTAATCCCAGCGCTTTCAGAGGCCGAGGCAGGTGGATCACGAGGTCAGGTGTTCAAGACCATCATGGCCAACATAGTGAAACCCCGTCTCTACTAAAAATACAAAAAATTAGCTGGGCGTGGGGGTGGGCGCCTATAATTCCAGCTACTCAGGAGGCAGGAGAATTGCTTGAAACCAGGAGGCGGAGGTTGTAGTGAGCCGAGATCGTGCCATTGCACTTAGCCAGGGTGACAGAGTGAGACTGTTTCTTTTTTTTTTTTTTTTGAGAAAAAGAAGGAGAAGGACATTTTAAAAAGACGTTATGCTGGCCCTAGCTATTCTGGAGGCTCAGGTGGAAGGATTGCTTGAGCTCAGGAGTTTGCGGCTACAGTGTGCTCTGATTGTGACTGTGAGCAGCCACTGCACTCCAGCCTGGACAACCTAGCAAGACCCCATCCCTTAAAAAAATAAAAGTAACGAAAAAGGAAATAAAAACCGTTATGCTACTCTACAGCTTTCATAGAACTAACGCTGGTGAAGTGGTCACTGAAATCTGTAGAGCATTTAGAGTTAAGACATCAACTCGTGCTGTGGTTCATGCCTGTAATCCCAAGTCTTTGTGAGTTTGAGACAGGAGGATCCCTTGAGGCCAGGATTTCGAGACCAGCCTGGGCAACATAGCGAGGCCTGTCTCTTAAAAAAAAAACAAACAGCTATGTATGGTGGCACGTGCCTGAGTCCTGGCTGCTTGGGAGGCTGAGGCAAGAGGGTCACTTGAGCTAACAAGGTTGAAACTGCAGTGAACCAAGATCATACCACTGCACCCCAGCCTGGACAACAGAGTGAGACCCTGTCTTAAAAAAAAAATGAGAGTTAAGAAATCCATGTTTTGTTAATCCAGGACTTGGTGAGAGCCATCCCTTTACAAAAGGCTCTTTTCTCTACCTGCACCAGTCATGCCTTCACATTGCCTTATACCTGTCGTATCGATGATATGGAGGGTCATGGGAGAGTCTATGTAACTGTCTTTCTCAGACAAATTATTCCAATCTTTTGCATGCAATCAGGATTTAAAATTAGCAGTTAGTATGTAGGCTGCACTGTGAGGGGGAATGACTTCCAACTTCAGGCAATTCATTGTGGCCATTGTTCCACAGAGAGGCATTTCAGTATTCCTACTAGAGCCTGTGTTTTGTGAAGCTTCGTTGTTTTTGCCAGATGCCATTGGCTCATCTTAGTGAAGTACATGCTATAGAACTGATATTTTGCTGAGTGTATCCTTGTCAACATTTCGGAAATACTGGTGACAAACTCTTTTCCCACCCCAATGAGAAAATTTTTGTTTTCACTTTCTATGACCAGTTAAAAGAAGATGGATGCACAGTGTTCAGCCAAGGTCAATGCAAGGAAGAGGAGGAAAGAGGCGCCTGGACCCAACGGGGCAACAGAGGAAGATGGGGTTCCTTTCAAAGTGCAGCGCTGTGCAGTGGTAAGTGGAGATGAACCCGGCAGGGGGAGGGTAGAAACCGATACAGCGTTGATGATATCAGTGTTACACGTCTTCTGAAACAATGAAAAGAAGGAATAGTAAGTGTATTTCACAGTCACTGGAAATCTTCTGCCTTTTTACTAGATTATGACTCACAGCTCAGTTGTAGGAGCTTTACGCTGGATTTAGAAAAAGAAATGTGAGGAAAATATGGAAGTTGCGTGTGTATTAGGCTAAAACTATTGAAATATGGCCAGGTGCGGTGACTCATACCTGTAATCCCTGCACTTTGGGAGGCTGAGGTGGGCGGATCACCCGAGGTCAGGAGTTCAAGACCAGCCTGACCAACATGGTGAAACCCCGTCTCTACTAAAAATACAGAATTAGCCGGGCGTGATGGCACATGCCTGTAATCCCAGCTACTTTGGAGGCTGAGGCAGGAGAATTGCTTGAACTCGGGAGGCGGAGGATGCAGTGAGCCAAGATCGTGCCATTGCATTTCAGCCTGGGCAACAGAGACAGACCCTGTCTCAAAAATAAAAATAAAAAATAGGTAAATAAATAAATAAGTAAATAAAACTAATAAAATAGAAAAATTGGGGCTCTAGGCAGTGTTTTGATCTTCACATCATCTCGTGTCTAGTGCGTTTTTTCTACTGTTTTTTCTCCCTATATCATTCCTCCATTCTATTACTAGTTATATCTTGAATGAGAACCTTTTTCCATTTATGCCTACCTTATGCTCCTTTATCTCTGGAAATGTATCTCTCTATTTCCTAATTATTGCCAAACCTTAAATGAAAGACCCCATTCCACACTGCCTACCCTGTCTCAGCTTGCTACCCTTCTAAAACTTTCCATAGTAAAAACATGTCAGAGAACACATACACAATTGGAGCTACTGTTGTTAATATTAGTATGAAATCTGTGTTTCAAAATCCCAATGACAGAATTGTATGTTTCTTTACCTATATTGACCATTAGCCATTGATCAAACTCATTTTCCACTGGTTAGTTCTAGAGCTTCCCAGCCCAAAGGGAAAAATCTATTCTGAAACAATTAATAGTTATTCCAAGTGAATGCTCTGTCTTGAGCAATAAAAGCAAATAATACCCCACAAATAAACAAGTGCCTGCAGGGCTGATATTGATCATAAGAGCAAGTATATATATTTGTTTCCTGTTGCATTTGTAACAAATTACCATAATACAAATATACAAATAACTTATCTTACATTTCTGGATATCAGAAATCTGAAATGGGTCTCAGAGGACTAAAATCAGAGTGTTGGCAGAGCTGGAGCGTCCAGGGGAAAGTCCGTCTTCTTGCCTTTTCCAGCTTCTAGAGGGTCCCCATATTGCTTAGCGCTTGGCACCAGCCAGTGCTTACATCACTCTGACCATTGCTTCTGCCATATCTCCTGCAGATTCTGAATGTCCTACTCCCTTTTCGCTTACAGGGACTCTTGTGATTACATTAGGTGTACCCAGATAAACTGGAATAATCTTCCTGTCCTTCAAATCCTTTATTTAATCATATCTGCAAAGCTTCTTTACTATTTTTATTTTTATTTGTATTTTTGAGACAGAGTCTCGCTCTGTCGCTCAGGCTGGAGTGCAGTGGCGCGATCTCAGTTCACTGCAACCTCTGCCTCTTGGGTTCAAGTGATTTCCCTGCCTCAGCCTCCCAAGTGGCTGGGATTGCAGGTGCCCACCACCATGCCTGGCTTACTATTTTTATTTTTATTTTTAGAGTAAGGGTCTTGCTATGTTACCCAGGCTGGTCTTGGACTCCTGAGCTCAAGCAGTCTTCCTACCTCGGCCTCCCACAGTGCTAGGATTACCAGGCGTGAGCCACTGTGCCTGGCCTGCAGAGTCTCTTTTGCCATGTGTGGTAAAACAGTCACAGGCTCCAGGGAATGGGTGTGGCCATCTGTAGGGGGGCGTTATTCTGCATACTATAGTAAATAAGCTCAGAAAATGACTCAGCAATCAACAAAACAGGGCATTGTTAGTTTCTGAATATTTCTTAGAGAATTCAGATTGAAGAAATGGTGGTACCAATTCAGCAGCATCACTTGGAGCAGGAACAAGTTATAACCAAATAGGTGATACTGTCAGCTAATCAGCCAATCACTGTAGCTAGGAATAGAGCAAAGGAAGTCAGTCTTTTCAGTGGAATGAGCTCTGAGAAAACCTAAATTTCTTGGTCTTTAAAGTCTGGGTTTTTTTTTTTTTGTTTTTTTTTTAATTCTTCTGGGGAGTCAATGCTTTAAATTCTTTTGCTTCATCTATTCATGTGAAATCAGTTCAGTGACTTGCTACCTGTTCCACATTCCTCCCTGAAACACACAGGCTATTTAGCACAGGCGAATGGTCAAGGAGCCACCCAACAGCCTGGACCAACGTTGGTGAGGAGGGGTGTCTGCTAGTAAACGTGCCTGTCATCTCACTGTGCGCCTGTACTTTCTAGCTGTGACTCTCCTTTGAACGCTGTAACAAAAACAAGACTGTTTTCTTTTTTTTAACAGCTTTATTGAGTTATAACTGACATATCATTTACAGTATACAATTCAGTGGTTTTTAGTTTAGTCACAGAGTTGTGCAACCATCACCATGACCAGTTTTAGAATATTTTTCTTTATTTTTTTGAGACAGGGCCTTGGTCTGTTACCCAGGCTGGAGGGCAGTGGTGTGATCATAGTTCACTGCAGCCTCAACTTTCTGGGCTCAAACAGTCCTCTCACCTCAGCCACCCATGTAGCTGGGAATATAGGTGCACGTCACCATGCCTGGCTAATTTTTAAATTTGCTTTTGTGGGGATGGGGTCTCACAACGTTACCCAGGCTGCTCTCAGTCTCCTGGATCAAGCGATTCTCCTGCCTCAGCCTGCCAAAGTGTGGGATTGCAGGCGTGAGGCACCAGGCCTGGCCTGGGATATTTTTATCACCCCAGAGAGAAGGCGTCTACTCAGGAGCAGTCACTCCCCGTTTCCCCCCAGTCTCTCCAGCCTCTGGAGACCACTAATCTGTCTTTTGATTCTGTGGATTTGCCTGTTCTGGGTGTTACATACAAATGACGTCATACAGTATGTGGTCTTTTGGGGCTGGCTTCTTCCACTAAACATGTTTTGAAGATTGATTCATATTGCAACATCTATAAGTACTTAATTTTTTTGAGACAGAGTCTCGTTCTGTTGCCCAGGCTGGAGTGCAGTGGCGTGATCACGGTTTCCCAGGTTCAAATGATTCTCCTGCCTTAGCCTCCCGAGTAACTGGGACTACGCAGGCGCCACCACTCCTGGCTAAGTTTTGTATTTTTAGTAGAGATGAGGTTTTACCATGTTGCTCAGGCTGGTTTCAAACTTCTGACCTCAGGTGATCCGCCCACCTCAGCCTCCCAAAGTGTTGGGATTACAGGTGTGAGCCACCACATCTGGGCAGTACTTCAATTTTTTTTTTATTGGGAAATAACGTTCCATCATATATCACATGCTACTTTTTAGTTATTCATTCTCCAGTTGACATTTGGGTTGAGTAAGCAAGATTTTATTGCATTTTTATTTATTTATTTTTTGAGACGGAGTCTTGGCTCTGTCACCCAGGCTGGAGTGCAGTGGTGTGATCTCGGCTGACTGCAAGCTCCGTCTCCTGGGTTCATGCCATTCTCCTCCTGCCTCAGCCTCCCGAGTAGCTGGTAGTACAAGCGTCCACCACCATGCCTGGCTAATTTTTTGTATTTTTTAGTAGAGACGGGGTTTCACCATGTTAGCCAGGATGGTCTCAATCTCCTGACCTCGTGATCTGCCTGCCTCGACCTCCCAAAGTGCTGGGATTACAGGCGTGAGCCACTGCTCCCGGCCTTTATTGCATATTTACAATGCGCTGGTGTGGCAGTAGGTGGTAGAGGTGTAAAGATAAACAAGACCTTCCTTTTATGAGATGTGAGTATAGAGTAGAATTCTATAGCCTAGAGCTCACTAACTTTTTTTTTTTTTTTTAATGGGGACTCGCAGGCCAGGCACGGTGGCTCACGCCTGTAATCCCAGCACTTCAGGAGGCCAAGTTGGGTGGATTACCTGAGGTCAGGAGTTCGAGATCAGCCTGGCCAACATGACAAAACCTTGTCCCTACTAGAAATACAAAAATTAGCTGGGCGCAGTGGTGGGTGCCTGTAATCCCAGCCACTCAGGAGGCTGAGGCAGGAGAATAGCTTGAATCTGGGAGGCGGAGTTTGCAGTGAGCTGAGATCGTGCCACAGCACTCCAGCCTGGGCAACAGAGTAAGACTTCGTCTCAAAAAAAAAAAAAAAAAAAAAAAGAAGGGCTGGGGACCTGCTGTGTTGCCTAGGCAGGTCTTCAACTCCTGGGCTCAAGCTGTCCGCCTGCCTCTGCCTCCCTGTGCTGAGGTGACAGGCGTGGACCACCACACCCGGCTGAGCTCATTAGCTTTAGAAAAGCACTTTTCTTGCAAGTAAAGAAAGGAATAGGAAAGATCACCAAGTATTAGATACCTGGGTTGGCGGGTCGGGATGAAATGGATAGAAAAGAGACAAAAGAGTTAAGAAGGAAAAACTTTATGGCTATTTTGTCTATAAGTATAAATCATTTATTGATACAGATGTTTCTAAAGGTTCAATCAAAAGGATCACAAAACTATTTATAAAACATAAGACATTTAGCTTATCTTAATATATATCAGGCTGGGCGCAAGTGGCTCATGCCTGTAATCTTAGCACTTTGGGAGGCCAAGGAGGGCAGATCATGAGGTCAGGAGTTTGAGACCAGCGTGGCCAACATGGCGAAATCCCGTCTGTACTAAAAATACAAAAAAAATTAGTGGGGTGTGGTGGTGCATGCCTGTAATCCCAGCTACTCAGGAGGCTGAGGCAGGAGAATGGCTTGAACTCAGGAGGCAGAGGTTGCAGTGAGCCAAGATTGTGCCACTGCACTTCAGCCTGGGTGACAGAGTGAGACTCTGTCTCACAAAAAAAAGCAAAA